AGTTCCGCGCGCGTAAAAGCGCAAACGGCACTGAGAGCTCGAGCTCACTCGCTCACTCACTGACTGACGCGCGCTCCGCTCTCTGTGCGCGCGCACACGCACGCGGACGCGCGCACACAGGCTCCACTGCAGCGCCTGAATATCATCGCTGTTCAAAAAACAAATGTATCTTCATTTTTGTTTATTTTATTTATTTACTTACTTATTTTTATTTGAACATGGCAACCGTCCTTTACACACTTCAACATGATGGTTCTTCAAGGGTTAAAGTAAAGACAATGGTTCTATGTAGAACCATGAACACTCAAAGAACCGTTTGCATGATTAAATGGTTCTTTGCATCGCGAAAGAGTTCTTTAGATTGATGGAGAATGTGCTGTAGATGGTTCTATATAGAACCCTTTTGAAAAGGGTTCTGCTATTGTCACAATGTCAAGCTTGAAAAGCTACAATACCCTTTTCAAAAAGGTTCCATATAGAAATGTCTACAGTGCATTCTCCATCAATCTGAAGAACCATTTCACCATGCAAAGAACCCTTTAATCATGCAAAGGGTTCTTTGAGTGTTCATGGTTCTATATCAAATCATTTTCTTTACTAAAGAACCTCTCTTGTTTTCCTTCGGACAGTGACGATGTGTGTATACATAGCTTGTGTTCTTAAATTAACACTACATTGCGTACGTTTTGGGGATTTGGAGGCCTCTCTGGTGGAAATGTGTAACTGCACCCAACATTCATCTTGTAGCACGGCTTGTGCTTTGGCCCCCTTCCCCGAGTGGATGAATCTGATGATTGAAAGAGAATCAAAGAGAACTCAGTCAAAACTTGGTGAAGGACAAGTCTCTGAGGTTGTGTGTGAATTATATACTATTGCCATCATATCTTCATCAGCATAATGTTGATTTTCAGATCATTTGAGACCTAAACATCGAGTTGGGCCTTCTTTTTGAGCCTGTGTGTGAGACGTTAATACATAAAGACGTGCGACATGGTGTGAAAAACTCCTGACCTGACATCTCCGACTTATAAATGGTAATTTCAGGCTTTAGAGGGCGACTCGCAGCAGAGCATACTCACCATATTATAGCCTGTTTTTATTCTCGACTCAGTAATAACACATTTTTCGGTTTTATCAAAGAAATACATAGTGCAGCTTTTAATATTTTAATGTTTGCACCATGCGGACAGCTTTTACATATGTTTACATGCACACACATGCTATTTCTAATTCTATGGTCAAGATTATTATTTTTTTTTTTTTGTTATGCATGACAGACACCCCTCCCCCTTACCTGCACACTTTACTCTGATGGGATGCACCCAGATGCCTTATTGACAGTGCTGTCCATGAAAGATAAGACCAGTGGGCATATTGGTGATACAGGTTTAAATTTTGATACACTGTTTGAAATTTAATGAATTTATTTTTATTACTGTTTTGAAATCGTTACACACGCTTAACACCTTCGTGCTCTGGTCTTCATCTCCGTCCTGTCTCGCTGTGTTCTGCACAGTGCTGTAGGTGTAAAGGCACTGCTCATCTATACGCTACAAACAGGCAGGAGTTTCCTGAGCAGCAGGCCGGAATGTCTCTGATAAGTTTCCCCCCCTTTTACCCCCTACACCCCCCTTACCCCTCCCAGCATCTCTCTGGGGCTTTTATTGTAGTTTTACAACCCACTCGGGGGAAGAATGTGCAGCATAACACACACACACAAGCCCTTAGAGTGCTCAAGAGCCATCAAACACACTATTGGGTGCAGTGGCTAGACATAGATGAACCCTCAGAAAGTCACTCTAAGGGTAGCAGACCTCCATGTGCAAATGTGCTGCAAATGCAGGGGAACCCTTGAGAAAGTTGGTATAAGGGTGGGAGACTTTCAGAAAGTGGTTGCAGGGATAGAGGAACCCTGGAGAAAGTGGCTATAAGGGTAATAGACCTTGAGCAGGTGGTTGTAGGGATAGAGGAACCCTGGAGGAAGTGGCTATAAGGGTAGTAGGCCTTCAGAAAGTGGCTGTACGGCTAAGGGAACCCTTGAGGAAGTGACTATAAGGGTAATAGACCTCAGAAGGTAGTTGTAGGGATAGAGGAACCCTTGAGGAAGTGGCTATAAGGGTAATAGACCTTGAGCAGGTGGTTGTAGGGATAGAGGAACCCTTGAGGAAGTGGCTATAAGGGTAGTGGGCCTTCAGAAAGTGGCTGTAGGGATAGCAGACCTTCAGAAAGTGAATATAGGGCTAGAGCAACCCTCAGAAAATGGCTGTACAGGTAGTAGACCTTCAGATGGTGGCTGTATGGCTAGAAGAACCCTCAAAAAGTGGCTGTAGAGCTAGGGGTACCACCAGAATACGACTGTAGGGGTAGGAGAACCCTCTGAAAGTGGCTGTAGGGACAGCAGACCTTCAGAAAATGCATGTAGAACTAGGGGAATCCTCAGAATATGGCTGCAGAGTTAGTAGACCTTCAGAAGTTGGCCATCTGGCTAGGGGAACCACCAGAACACGGCTGTAGGGGTAGGAGAACCCTCAGAAAGTGGTGGTAGAGGTAGTAGACTTTATGAAAGTGGCTGTAGGGATAGGGGAACCCTCAAAATGTGGCTATAGGGGAAGCAGACCTTCAACAAGTGGTTGCAGGACTAGGGGAATTCTCAGAAAGTGGCTGTAGGGGTACAGGACCTCCAAAACGGTCACTGTCGGGCTAGGGGAACCAACAGGACCTGGCTGCAGAGGTAGAAGAACCCTCAGAAAGTGCTGGCAGAAGCAGTAGACCTTCAGAAAGTGGCTCTAGTGGTAGCAGAAAAAGTGGCTAAGGTTAGTAGATCTTCAGAAAGTGGTTGTAGGGGTAGGAGATCTCTCACAATTTTGCTGTAAAGGTAATGGAAACATCAAAAAAGGTAAGAAAGAAGTGGAAAAACCCTCCAGTGTGGCTGCAAGGATAAGAGGACCCTCAGACGGTGGCGGTAGGGGAAATAGAACCGGTGTAATATTTTTAATCCACTGGTGGTATAAAGACTCATAGAACAGGATGATAAATAACGACGGGAAAGTTACAGCAGGAGAGAGACAGGGATGGGAAAGACAGAGAAAGGGAGACCTGCCATGACCAGCTGTGTCTGTGTTAAATGGTGTGGATTCCTCTCCTTTGTGTGTATGCAGCCCACACACACCTGCTGCGCTCTCAGCTCTGTCCTCCCTGTGGGTCACATGTAGGCTCAGTATGACTGCAGAACCCCCAAAGGAAATTTTCAGTGCTATACGTGACGTTTCTCTGGGTTATTAATATGACGCTAGAAAACAAAAACTGCTAAGAAGCCTAAAAGGAAAAATCATTATTTCATCATCAAAAAGCTCACACTTTATATTCAGGCTCATATCATAACTCACAACATTCCCCATAATTATGTTCTAGACAGACCTACATATTTTAGGCCCCCTGCTGTTTATTTTCAGCCTTAACTCAGGCCGACAGCTCACTGGAGACAGAACATCACCCTCCCACACCTGCAGGTGGCAGTAAAAGACTGCAGTACTGCAGAGCAGACATAAATCTATATCGCACTAAATTGTTTTACACATACAGCTGTATTTTCGTGTTCACTGGACCACGAAAAAGGCCCAGTCACAGATTTAGCTCTGGATTTAGTTCAGACCAAGAAAGCATCTATAATGTGCCCCCTATTGATCAAGTGCAGTGATTTAAATAAGGTTAAAGCTGTATTGTGTAAGAGTAACTTTTCCCCAGATGCAAAAAGTTGTAAGGTAAGTCTGTTAACCAGCTTCAAGCTCTGTTTTTTAAATACAGACCCCTATCTTGACTATAGTCTTGGACTTGACAAAGGTGGTCTTGACAGCCCCACCCATTAGACACTGCCGTTTAACTATAAGCTATAGACACTTTATGAATATCTTAAGAATAACTTTAATAATATAACTTTTTGAATATTATTATTTTCCAGTTTCAGTAAATATAAATTTGAAGACGTCACTCATGGTAAATAATTTCTAGCACAAAATAAATTACCAAGAAGTAGAGTTATTAAGGGGAATAGCACCAATTTTTCAAACTTTCAGAATAATTCAAACCTCAAGATGTAAACTTATTCAGAGGGGTTTGTTGAGGAGACTCAGATGTCTTTACAGCGGTGGTGATGGGAACCAGGGGTTGCCATGACTACAACACAAACATAGACATTATGTTCACTATCCAAAACCACCAGTGAACCTACACTGTCTTCTGAGTTTTATAGGTAATTTTTTTTTTTTGATGGACAAATAGTGGAAAATCTGAAAAAACAAGTTTTGTTTGGGGACTATTTTGCCTCACAACACCCTGCATGTATCCCTCAACCATGAACAGATTAAAATAAATGGATTAACATACATTTTAAATACATTTCAAAACTTTGTTTCAAAACTTTCTGTGAGGGAGCTTTTAGAGGTGGACGTCTGGTTCCTATCACCACCACTGGGAAAAATTCTGACTCTGTAAGTTTCTCTAGAATGGAGCATTTCACACCAAACCACTCTGAATTGCTCTGTTTACATCTTAACCAGTAAATTAGTAAGAGTTTTTCTTGAAAAATCAGGGGTTTCCCTGATAATACATATGAAAATAAAGATAAGGTAAAGCTTTCTGGCTGTGCCTGTGCCATAATGGAACTCATGGGGTCAATCCCTGCCTAAAAAAGATGGATTACATGCTGACCATACTCTTCAGGACAGTAATCAACCAATTGCTTAAGCTGATGAGTTGAATCCAGTGAGTAAAAGCTTACATAAAAAACAGTGGACAAATGAATGGTCAAAATTCAGGGTTCCAACTTAGCTTAGTCCATGTTCATAGCTAACAGTGAGTCATACAGTGTCAGAAAGCACATAATTATTTATTATTAACCACATAAACATTATTTAGGCATGCATTTAGCACCATACTAATTGGTGGGCTATAAGCTTCCATTACTTGTCAGCTACATTAGCCTCAAAGCTCCACCACAAGAA